TTTTTTGTTGCTATGTGTGGTATTTATTCAGTTTTGGGAAATCACGATGTCTAGAAAGCATCAGTGGCTGCAGCTGACAGGGACAGCTAACAGCAGCAGCAAAGCTAACATCAGGACGTCATCTGTTAAAAGCCTCCCGTTGTCGGATATGACATGAAACTACTCCAGTTAGCTCAATAATGTTGGACAGGCAGGGGGTGGGGAGCAAATGGTGCAAGTAGCGCGTAGCAAGGACCCACAGGACCCACAGGGTTAACTCATATCGCGGTGGTGCCTGGATAGCGTGACGTGTGTGGTTGTGCTGCTGCCGTGGTCCTGCCAGATGCCTCCTGCTGCTGCCATCATTAGTCATTAGTCATACTTCTACTGTTATTATACACATACGATTATTATCACACATGTATACTGCCAGATACTAATATAGGCTATACTTTCAACATATTTTACCACAGTAGCCAGAACTATAACGATAATATTATTACTTTCATTAATGTTGTTGTAAGCTACTGTCATTACCGTCTGTCCTGCATCTCTCTCTCTCTCTCTCTCTCTCTCTCTCTCTTTCTGTCTCATTGTGTCATACGGATTACTGTTAATTTATTATGCTGATCTGTTCTGTACGACATCTATTGCACGTCTGTCCGTCCTGGAAGAGGAATCCCTCCTCGGTTGCTCTTCCTGAGGTTTCTACCGTTTTTTTTCCCCCGTTAAAGGGTTTTTTTGGGGGAGTTTTTCCTTATCCGCTGTGAGGGTCCAAAGGACAGAGGGATGTTGTATGCTGTAAAGCCCTGTAAGGGAAATTGTGATTTGTGATATTAGGCTTTATAAATAAAATTGATTGAACTGATTGATTGACAGGCACCGATGGATGTGAGACCCATAGCCCCACCCCTACCAACATCACCACCACCATACCCACAAGACACATCACCATCAGAGACGGGACAATACCCACTGCGCTCAGTAGAGGAGGCAAGAGCAGTAACAACAATGGAAGGCCAAGTGGAGGGAAGGTTCAGTGACCTTGGCCAGGGACATACTGACAATTCAATGCCACTCATTACCAATCCAGAGGCCCCCGAGGGGGCGGGGTCGAGGCGGACCTGGGGGAGGACCAGCAGGCCGAGGAGGATGGAGAGGGGGACCGAACTTTCCTCCAGGACCCCAGCCACCGCAACAGCAAACCTGCACCCTATCAGCAATCAAGTCCCCAGGAAATGAACACAGGATATCCAGGAGTGAATCCTGCTGCACCTAACAATCTATGCTGGGGTTGTAACCAGCCCGGCCACCGACGTAGGGCGTGTCCGGTCAATCCATGGGAAGGTCCAACAGAAAATTGGCCGAACAGGAGACAGGGTGCCCATGGTAGGGCTGCCCAGAGAAGCCGGAGGGGGAAGTAATGTCACCAGTCATTTCATTACAGCCACACGATGAACCAACTATACCTGTTGTCATCCACGAACAAGCATATCCTTTTATGGTGGACACAGGGGCTACATATTCATGCATTGGAAAAGAAGGCTCTAAACTCCCCCTCTCTAAGTCATCCATCAAGACCATAGGTTTCTCTTGGAAATGACAAGTCATACCATTGACAGAGCCCGTTCCAATGCTCATCGCAGGAAAAGTCATATTTGCACCCCTACTCTATTCAGCTCACATGCCAGTAAACCTTCTAGGCAGATACATATTGTGCCCTCTCAAAGCTAAGATCATGTGTACTCAAGATGGACTATATCTACATTTCCCCGAGGAACCTCCACAAAGCATGATGCCACAGCTGCCCCGTGAACGCCACAGAGACACCACAGGCGTTACAGGGTTCTTACACCATTTTAAAAGTAAAATTTAATGCTTTTTAAGACAATTTAAGACCTTAATTACCCGGATTTTAATTTAAGACATTTTAAGACTTTTTAAGGACCCGCGGGAGCCCTGCATTGGACCAGACTCATGTAGATTATCAAGAATGCTGGGACGTAGTGCTCAATAAAAAACCATGCCTAATAACTTGTGAAGACATGTATTTAGGACCTCAAGGTGTGGCGGCAGCTGTCCGCCTCCCAGAAGAATTAGCAGGATGGTTTCAGGTGCCAAATTCTGCACCACATGTTACACTGATGATAACAGAAGGTTATGAGTCTCATCATCTGGGTCCTATGGTCAGACGTGCACTGCAGGTGCAAGAGTGGTTACCCACCGAGAACAAATACATCCACATTTCAGATGACAAACAATACATCAGAATCTCAAATCTCAACGACAGGTGATGAAGCAGTCGCAGACAAGGTAAGTAAGTAAGGCTCCTCAACCGCAGACGGTGGGCCAAATGCTGTCCTTTCTCGGCATGACAGGATACAGCCAGCCATGGATTTGTGACTATGCTATAAAAACTGCTCCACTCAGAGCTTTAGTAAGAGCAGCAGGACAGACCAACAACACAACACAGCTGTCCTGGACGGAGGAAGCAGAAGATGCATTCCAAGCTTTAAAAATAGACATGCAGTCTGCTCCAGCATTAGGCACTCCTAACTACTCCAAGCCTTTTCATCTCTACGTAGCAGAGAAATCTGGGTTTGCATGTGACGTCCTGATGCAAGACACATCCACTTTGCATTTCAAAAAGCATCCTTGTTAACAATGGGACATCCTGTAACTTTGTACACCTCTCACCAGCTTCATGCCCTGCTGACAAGTCCCAGATTTGTTTTGACACAGGCCAGACGCACAGGATATGAGGTCATCCTGTCCGCTCCTGAGCTCGACATTCAACGATGTACCATCATTAATCCGGCCACTAAAATGGTTCTACCCACAGAAGGTACACCACATGACTGTCTTCATGACACAGATAAATTTATGCGCGCTCAAGAAGATTTACACAATCAGCCCATTTTAGCTGACCTCACATTGTTTGTTGATGGCTCCTGCTTTCAGGACACCACAGGTAGTCATGCAGGCTATGGAATTGTACAGCTCAATAACGATCAGAATTTTGTGACTATACAATCATGTAAACTTGCTCAGCCCTGCTCCGCCCAGTTAGCAGAGATAAAAGCTCTAACAGCAGCATGTAGAGAAGCAAAGGGAAAGTAACTGAATGTATATACAGATTCAGCATATGCATATGGAGTGGGCCACATCCATATGAATGTGGCAATGTTGGGTGGTGCTTTTATATTATAAAGGGGCTGTAACGGAATGACACCAATTGCAAGCCAGACAACGCCACCTAGGGACTTTCACCCAAGGAGTTTTACCCAGTTCTAAGCAATAAGGCAAACACAGGTTCAAGCACTACAAGACAGAGACGTGGCTCAAAAGCAAATCAAGATTTATTTATTAAGAATTGTATAAGCAAAAATAATACTATTAAACTGGAAGTGTCTGTAGAGGGAAAAGAAAGAATTAGTAATGGGCAATGAAGGCAAGTCAAAGTTACAGAAGGATGTATGAAAATTTATTACAATTTATTCTCTTAACAATAACTCTTTTTTTTGTTTAATTAATGAAAACACTTCCAGAGTAGATGATTAAAACTATCAAAACGGGGAGGGGGGAGTGAGTGGAAGCTAGCAAGGGGGAGGCAAACTACCAAAGGAAGTGTCACAGGAGTGCACTTACCCACCACTCGTGAACTCACAGCAAACACACGGCAAACAGGTGCAGACTATCGTGTCCCAGTGACCTTATCACTACAACAGAAAGATGCTGGGAACCACCCAGGGTGCCTAGCCTCCACCGCTAGCCAACAACCACTGCACTGTAAGGAAAAAAAAGAAGAAAATGTTACCCAAGAAACGGCTAAAACTGTATTAAACCAGTTGGTTCAGGCTAAAAGGGCAAATTTTAATAACAATTTCAATAGAATGTCATAATTCAAAAGTAATGGCTAACTCAAAGTAAACTAAAGATGAGCAACCTGGAACAAAACAGGACCTAACAAAACCAAAGCTAACAAAACAGACAAAACACTCATCTAAAACAAAACAGCAGCTGATTGTGTCTGAGCAGGTACTATAATTACCCTGATGTCCTCCAATCAGTTTGGAACAATTCACCACTACAAAAGAAGCAAATACAATGTTAACACATTTTGTGGTTTGTGGAAGTTAAACATTGTTTAAAAAGTTAACAAACCTCAAATCAATTTCAATGGACACCAAGACGACCAGGCCATCCATGCAAAACAGGCAGTACACTATTTAACACAAACACAATGTAGCTTCTGTTAAAATAAAGGTCACTACTCAAAGTAAAACAGGCTAAAACAACCTCCAGGCCACATTACCCACCTCAGAGACATGACCATTTGGCAGCCACCAGGCACAGACAAGGAGAAAGGCAGCCTTCATGCCACAGGTGTCTTAAATAGGCTCTGCCAATTTAGGGGGGTTAGGAAAGGGGAGGAGTTGACCTACTTTTTGGAGAGGCTGCAGTCTGCAGCCTCTGACTCAGATTCTCTCTGCCACACAAACATTTGGAAACAGAGAGGGTTTTGCAGAGAGGACGGCACCCCAGTCACACATGGGGAGGCCATTGTTGACTTGCTGGAGGCTATGCTCCTCCCCAAAACCCTAGCCATAATCAAATGTCCAGCCCACCAAAAGACTGATTCATTGATAGCCAAGGGTAATAACCTAGCTGATGTAGCAGCCAAACAGGCAGCAATAGGTGCAGTAATGGCATGTCACAGTTCATCTCTGCCTCACCACTCTGCACCTGCCTGCTTCAATCTGCCAATCAGACACACCCCTCTCATCAAGCCAACTCCTCTCACCTGTGCTCTCTGCTCTGCTCTGGCTGCATTTAAGCCCCTGCTCCACACTCATTCATTGCTAGATTGTTCTCGATGCTTGCACCAGACTCTCCAGCGTTTCTCTGCCTGATCTCCCGGTTACGACCCTGCTTGCCTCCGACTATCCTGCCTCACCGATCTCCTGGAAATCACCTCAGCTTTCCGTCCCCGACCACGATCCTTGCCTGTCCCTTTCTGGATTCTGCCTGTCTGCTCCCTTGGCTATCCGGTGATTACCTGATTCAGCTCTACAGAGTGAGTGTTACTCCCGTCTCCTCTGTGGCTTCCTGCAGTTCTGTGACTCTGATATTCCTTCACTGAGTGAGTACAAGACTGAGTTTTACGGACAGTACTCACCAGTGTCCTGGTTTGGTTCGGCTGAGCCTAACCTCCAATCCCTACTAAAGACTGTTAAAGGCCAGCGGCCAGAAGACAGACTGTTTTGCCTACTGCCATTGTTTCCTGGACGTGTGCTAATAAAGTTTGTTACCAACGATACCTGCCTGTCTTTGTGCTGCTATTGGGTCCAAACCAAACCCATTACATGGCACCCATATTAACCATACAAGACTGTGAACCCCTCACTACCATGCCTTCTCTTGTAGCCGTGCAAAACAGAGTAAGTGAGGCTCAAAACGACTGTGGAGCAAGTGTGGCGCCATCAGAACACAAGCACAGGGGCCAACAAATGGTCTCTGGCGAGATAGTCATTGCAATTTTGTACTACCAACCCTGTTGCTGCGACATGCTATAATTTGGGCGCATGGTAATGACCATTGCGCAAGGGGGGAGATCCTACGGAAATTGCAAGCAACATGGTGGTCACCATTCATGGCAGCCACGGTAGATAGAGTACTAAGCGAATGCGAAACTTGCGTGAGATAACAACATCAGGAAAGTTTTTATAGCCCCACTGGCGCATATACCACCTCCAGACGGTCCTTTTAGACACCTCATGTTAGACTACATAGACATGGGAGCACAATCCAGAGTAAGTGGAATGAGATACGTTTTGGTAGTCATATGCAGATACAGCCGATGGGTAGAAGCAACAGCCATAGCCCGATCAGATCACAGAACAGCTGCAAAATTCCTCTGCCGAGAAGAAGAGATTTGGGATGCCAGACACCATATCATCAGATAACGGAAAACACTTTGTATCTAATGTAATACAAGAAACATTGAAGCAACTAGGCATCAAACAAAAGTTTGACTGTGTCTACCACCCTCAATCACAGGGGGCAGTAGAAAGAGCAAATGGGATTCTGAAAACAAAAACCGCTAAAATAGTAGTAGATAGTGGGGACAAGCTTAACTGGGTGGATACTTTACCGCTAGCACTAATGTCAGTGTGCTCACAAGCCAGCAGAATCACGCATCTAACACTGCATGAAATGCTTACGGGTTGACCCATGCCAGTACCATATTTGAGGGGTCCCTACGAAGGGCCCCCATTGGAGCAACTGCAAAATGAAATGTTTGACTATTTACGAAGTCTAACCCATATCCACAGGGCCATCTTCCAGCAGGTGAAAGGAGCCACAGTGGACAGACGAGTCGAGATCCCAGAGGACCTTCAGGCGATGCCTCCCCGCAGGAGCAAGGGACAAGGCGATCCTTACGCTTGGCGGCCAGGCAGGATTGGAGTGGGGCCCAGAGTGACAGCAGTGGGTCGCTGCCAGGGAGGGTATCACCAGAGAGCACCACGGAGGGGAGCACCTCCTCCACAGTTGCTAGTGATGAGTCTCATGAGTCGACACCTGACAGCCGCAGGGATGATGATGAGGGCGCAGGGACATCAAGAGCAGAGGAAATTAAGGAAGCTACAGAAGAAGAAGAAGAAGAAGGCCGCAGCACAGAAACAGGTGCAGCAGAGAGCCAAGACAGTGCAGACACAGACACAGGAGACACAGACACAAGGGGTGCAGACACAGGAGATGCGGGCTCAGAACAGGGAACAGCAGACCAGCAGGCCATATAGCCAGAGAAATTCAGATGTAGGAGGCCAGACTAGTATAGGAGGAGGAATTCAGGCAGGGATAATAGCTGCAGTGCTACTAACATTACTGCTTATCATGAAAAGGGTGAAGCCAAGTGAGGGAGCCGAACAGAGCGATCAGGATCAGGGGCAGATGGACCATTGTTTACTCACACTAGGATCCATGGCTGTAAAACAAGGACAGATGCCTAGCGGAGAAATAGTGCAGCTGACCTACTATAAGTCGCATGCTTATGATGATGTGTTGGTGGAAGGTCCAGGAAATATTAGGTTGCATGGCTGGTCTATAGGACCACAATGTAGAGCTGAGGGGATGGTGACAGCAAGAGTCTGGTGTGATAATGAAAGTTGTGCCAACATAGACACCGGGCACATAGTACCTGTAGAACTGGCTCAACAATGGCTTGAACTAAAATCAGAACCCTGCAGGAGAACCAGAAACACGCCAGCACGAGACACCGAACTAATTAGAACTACCACGTGGAGATCTAATATGTTTTACCAGTGGTTAGAGTACTCCGCCAAACAAATAACCAACAGCTCGTGCATAGTGTACAGTGTACTATGTGGATGGCGGCAGGGAAAACCAGTTACGCCAATAATAGTGAAATCTGCCCAATAAGTCTTAAAGGGGCTCCTGAGCAAATTAAAAAAGAATTTCAAGTACCACCAGTAGTGCATTTGGCTCAAGATATAGTATTTCCCTTTTGTGTAGCCCGAGGGCACATCGAACATTGGTTAGAGAATTACACTAGCAGCAACAACACGCTTGTGGTGGAACAATTGATGCGGTGCCGGTAGGAAAGTGCCACCCATAAGCAAACTAATCAGACTTGGATCGCAAAAGTGTGTCGAACCAGTATGACCTTAGCAAAGGTACGGATCCCTAGCAGATATATTCCATAGGTGATGACTGGATAGGGACAGGTAGAGGATTAGGTGCTATGCCATTTGTAGGGACCATAATGAATGCCCAATACATAGCACGTAATAGCCGCTGGGTGAACTATTTGTGGTACAATCAACAGAGGTTCGTAAATTGGTCTATAGCAGCACTGGAAGGTGTGAGTGAACAGTTGCATGCTACATCCCTAATGACTGTGCAGAACAGATTTGTCATCAAAACAACGTTAGCCCCAGACCAAGGTGTCTGTGATATAATAGGGGGAGAGTGCTGTACAGCCATCCCCATGAATACAGGTGAAGATGGCAACATGACTCAAGCTTTAGAAAACATACGTAGACTAAGAGACCAACAAGTACAACACTCCAATTGGAACACAAAAACCTCATCAATTCTTGACTGGTTAGAAAAGTTCTCTGTTGGAAAATGGACTATAGGAGTAATATTTGGACTTGTTTTATTGACTATTCTCTTGATAATCTGTTGTGTCCTTCCCTTAATACAGATCCTGATAAGAAGGGCCATGAGAGCGGCCACGGGACAATCTGTTATGCTGATACAACAGCAGGAAAAGCTCCCCGAGAAAGGCGAATTGTGGGAACTAGATGAACCGTGGGTAAGACCCTATGCACCCATAAGATTGAACAATGATTTATATGAGACCATGATTGACAATACGGACGTATGTGAGAATATGGCTGACAGTATAAACTTATATGAGCCAATGAAGGGGAACCTGGAAGGGGAATACGAGGTCGTATAGAGGGAGAGCCGATTCAGGCTAAGAAAAAAACAAATAATTGGCAATAGATCCAGGTAAAACCTTGCTGTCACCGAACCCATACTAACAATCGACTGATTAACATATATAGGTTATTTATACCACGGGGTAATTAGAAGGAAAAGGAGGAAAAGAGGGAAGTGAATTGAACTAAACAATGTCCCTTACAACACATAGATAGGTGCAGAGCATGGCCAGCAGTTGGAGATCCCTGTATCCAAAGCAGCAGAATACAAGGTTGGCCTACCAAGAGCGCCCAGCCATGCCAGAGCGCCCAGACCACCCCAGCCCATCTCCCAGGCTGACCAACCGACCCCCATTCCCATATGTGCCCCAAGGAGGAGCCCCATTGAAGCCCATTGGTACCAGTACGCGCTGATGACCTCGCCAGGAACCTACGTGCCACCGCTTATGCAGCAGCCATTGACGAACATCCCAAACTGGACTCCCATCAACCCCTTCAACCCCGCTGACAACACACACCTGTGCCACAAAGACCATTGTCGCAAGCCACCAGAGTCCTGTTGCAATGCCAATATAACGTGTGGCCTGAGGTGGTGGAAGGACATCTCCACGAGCTGCAAAACAAGACGCCCACCACTGAGAGATACAAGCAGCTCGGGGATGACCTGCACACCCAACTCTATGATGTTCCTGCAAAATTCGACCATCGACTAGTGTGCAGCTTCCCTCTAGAGCTGCAACATAGCCTGCGCAAGCTGCGCCATTACACTTACAAATGGGATGGTGGAAAATCACTGGGGCCTGAAGGAGCAGCATGAACAGGATCAACAGGAGATCATCCTGCGTGCTCAAGTCCACATCCTGACAGGAGACAACCAAAACCTGCGAAAGCAGCTGGCAACCTGTCAAGAGTTGGAGCTTGAGATCGCGTTACTGAAGGATCAAGTTGCAGCTTACCGCCATCTGCGTATGGCCGGGACGTTGGCCTATGTTTCCACTGATTCTACTAACCAGTGACTGTGCTATATCAACAGTTACAGGATAATTAGGGTGTTCCACTCACTGTAATCGTTCTATAATTATGTATACACTGGAGTGATGGTGTATCCCACTGTGACATATCTTGTGTGTTGCACTACTTAACAATCACCTTTCTAGGTTTTAGATTAAACACTGTAACAGAGTGATATTACACATTGAGTGCCTTACCCTTGTTGTGCCTATACCAAGCTGTAATCAGTAGAATGTAGTGTGTTTGATGTTTGGCAAATTGCTTGGGTAGAGTGGGACTTTGCAGTCCCAGAGGAGGGAATATATATTTTTTCCCTCTGATAAGCTTGCTGATTCATGAAGATTGTAGTATGGGACCTTCTGGTCCCAAAGGGGGGAATATATATTTTCCTCCCTTGCTATTTAGTGGGACTTGTTAGCCCCAAAGGGGGGAATGTAGTGTAATGTACTGATTTACTGAAGTGTTTATACTGTACCTTTAAGATGACCTTTAAAGATAAGTGTTGAAGCAATGTACTCTGTGCACTGAGAAGTCACACACTGGTTTATTATTTTATGTATTCCTATGACACACACATACACTCATTGAGCACTTAAGCATTGTGGTGGAGAAGTACCTAGGATTCAGTGCATCATTTCTAAAAATAGCATGAGCATGGGCTCAGAAACACTGGTGGAAAGTTAGGGGAATTCCAGCTTGTCCTGATATGACTCTGGTAAGAGGGGGCGGTCTTAGACTGCCCAGAAAAGCATTATATGGTGAAGTTGGCTCCAAGGGAGAAAAGGAGAGAGGGGATACTATTATGTACGAGTGCAAGTAAAGAGGCAGCCATCAGGGGGAGACAGGAGAAATGTGACACCGTTATGTTTCAGCTCCAAGGGAGAAGGACTAAAGAAAAAGTGGAAACTCAGCAGAAATGTGACACCGTTACGATCAGAGCCAAGTGGGAAGGATTAAGAAAAAGTGGAAACTCAGCAGAAATGTGACACCGTTACGATCAGAGCCAAGTGGGAAGGATTAAGAAAAAGATGACTCAGCAGCAATCTTCACAATAAAAGCGGGTGCGCAGACAAAGAAAATCCAGTCCTGCTCCGGAGCTTGACTCATTGAGTTGTGATGTGTTTGTTGCCTGCGAGCACATTAAACTCAGTTGCATCTGATTCTACGTGTCTCCAGTGATTTTTTTTTACTTCTGAGTATCTGAGTTTTTGATATTTAATAGAAACAAAGAAAGTTTGTTCGAGAAGAAGGGAACGAGGTCACGAGCATTCTGGTCCAGCTCCAGACCTTTAAATTTATGTTTCAACAGATCCTAACACTCCTGCCTGTATAGCATACAGACCTGTAGGTCTGGAGTGACCAGAGGGATGACTACTACCTCTCAAAGAGAAGAAATCCAGAGCTTATTTTCCTAAAGAAAACTTCTGTTCTGAGAGTAGATCTACCTGCTGCAGACGAGTCAAGTTATTATACATTGCATAACATTATGCATGAAAGCCCCGCAGTATAACAGCAAAAACATTCAATCAATAAACGGTTAGAAGGTGCAAAATATCAACTGATTCAGCACTGATTATAACAAATATATGGACTGATTACCCATTTTCATCAGCTGACATTTATTACAATAAATTAAGTGATGTCAACAACAAGCTGACACTATCCACGCCACTGTGTGTGTGTGTGTGTGTGTGTGTGTGTGTGTGGTGGAAAAATATATTAAAGGGGAACTAACGTTTTTTTCAACCTGGGCCCTATTTTCTGATCTACTTTTGTCTAAATGAGTGATAGGATGTTCAATATGTGACATTTCTCCAGTACGAAGCTAGGGCTGACCTGCCTGCAGCCCGTGAGCGTGCACTATATCAAATAATAGGGCACTCAGACAGCGTCAAACAACATCAAAATACGTCCACTAAAAGTGCAATTTTTTCACACAGATAGGCTCGGATTGTTAGTATAATTATCCAACAACATAACGGAAAGGAGGAATGAATGCCTGTCTTTACCTTTAGCTGGAATCGGACATATTTGTTGTGGCAAGTCAAAATGCTTCCTCTGCCTGCTCTAGTGATGTTACGCTCGAGTCAGTTCGCTCAACACAGTGTCGATCTTTTGAAGCGGAAGTGTTCCAAGACAGTGTTTCGATCTCTGATTCGGCACGTTCACAATCACGTGACTACTGTGAGCGAGGCCTCGTTACGTCACATCGCGTGTTGCGCTGCTTCACGGGAAATTTGAAGGGGTTGGGCATTTCAGTATGTCAAGGCTTTAAAATGGGTCTGATTCACTGCTCAAACTGTGTGTTTTTTAAGAGGAGGAGTTCAACGCTATTGCTATATTTGTTATTTGGGAAGAAGCTAAGGAGAGAACTGTAGTTAGAATTAGGTTTAGATAGATTTACTTATATTTCATACACTAAATAATACACATAGATAGCCTACATACACATAGATTCATACATACACAACAAACATTCATTCATAGAAACACACTAGACATATAGTAGAATAGGCTTATTAGAAAGTTACATTGGAGAGTTGTTTGAGTGGTTGAAAGAGTATGTTGTGAGATGTGAGAGTGCAAGGTGTGTTTGTGAGAATGCGTGGTGTGTTTGTGAGGAATGAGGTGAGGTAGTAAGGGAGGGCTATGGCAGAGCAACCGGTGCCTAAAAGAGCACAGTCTTACACCAGGGCCACACTGGTATATGTCGCTCGCGAGCCGCGAGCGAATATGTCAAGCCGGGCAGGAATATAGGCTATACATATTAGTCAGTGGTATCTCAATCTGGAAATCCATCGGTAAAAAAAAAAAAAATGTCTTCCTTTACCTCTGGAGGCACAGCCCGGAGTTTTTCGACTAACCGGAAGTGAAGGGGCCTCACGCCCTTCACTTCCGGCGGTGCCCCCAGGGAATCACTGTGTTGTTTATAAATACTTATGGGTAGAGAACCAGCAGAGTTTAGCTATATAACACATTTTTCACGTCACTATATCACCGTGTAGACTAATCTGATGTTTGTTAAGTCTATAAACACAATGACTGAACAAACGTTACTATTTCTGTATGCACGTAATTAATATGGTTATCGTAGATTAGCTGGGCTAACCGTTAGCTGTTAACGTTAGCCGTTAGACTGCAGTGATCACTTCTGACTCCGTCCTCTGACTCTTCTAGTGCAACACACACTTCACACACACACTCATTTACAATACCGAGCGGGGACAACTTCCGCCTTTCTGCTCCAACACTGACTGACCGCTGACTCCACTCATTCACACTCACCACTGCCCCAGGGCCGCTACCATATGCTATTTACAGAGATAGCACTGGCGATCTGAACCGGTCAATGGCGAAAAAAAGCACATTTATACGGGACGCATTTGCCCCCATTACTGTTTTAGCTTGTTTCGCGGCTCAATACTGAACCACTTTTAGAACGAGTGGTACCCATGAATCATACGCACACATACACATGGGGAAATAGAGCCCAGGTTGAAAAATACCGAAGTTGTCTTTTAATCACAAAATGGAGCTAGAGAGTGTTTTGCTTGGTGTGGGACTCCTCCACTGACTGACATCAGAGCAAGAGGCCGAAAAATTGTTGCTTTTTTAGGACAAGCACTAAAGCAAAGGAGAAACTCACAGAGATGCAAAGTCAGCTGCACAAGCCTGTTCACAAACTGGTTCAAGAAGTAGAAACCAGATGGAACTCCACGTACTTGTTACAAAGACTGTATGAACAACGAGAACCAGTTGGTGCGGCAGTGGCATCCCTTACCACAGACATTCCTCCCCTCACATTTGTAGACTATGGGACAGTCAATGACTGCTTAGATGTACTTGCACCCTTCCATCTGGCCTCCACAGAGATGTCAGCTGAAAAGCATGTTTCTGCGTCAAAAGTCATTCCACTCATCAGAATGGTACAGCACAAACTGGCTGTAAAGGCATCAGCCATTAAAAACCAAACAGCACTCCATCTGATAAAACAACTGCAGTATGAGCTGGTCAAACGATGCACAGTTGAAAATGTCAGAGTTGTGGCCTTAGCCACCATCTTGGACCCAAGATTTAAGACATTAGCCTTTGGCAATGAAACCCATGCACAGGAGGCCATGTCAAAACTGACTGCAGAATGCGCTGGAGCCATGAGGGTTGAGAGGGGAATGCCGTCAATATCGCAGGTAGTGTACCATTTATTATTCCATATTGTGTTTTCCATACCTCTGTAGTAACACATATTAAAACATTATCAACTCCATCAGTCAGCTGCCAACGAAGAACATGGGCCTTCAGCAGACAACAACTTATGGGATCTTTTGGACAGCAGAGTTAGTTTGTATTATGGCCTGTTATTACTGTAAGCACCATTTTCTTATTATGAAAGATGGCTAATTTCCCTTTTCTTTTTGTTTAGGAAGAACACAACAATCTCAAAGTGCAACAGCAGATGCTACAGTTGAGGTTCAGAGATATCTGTCTGAGCCCTACCTCTCCAGAGGAGAAGACC